GAGGAGGAGGAGGAGGAGGAGGGGGAGATAGTGGAGCAACGAGAGGATTGGGAGGAGGAAGGCAAAGGGTCGAGATTGACTATCGAGCAGGTCGCTCTTGTGAAGCAGTTCAGCAGCCAATCGCCGAGTTCGTCACCTCCTGGTGCTCTGAAACCGCAGAGGAATCGATCGCCCAACAGAAACCGAGGAAGGTGAAGGAGAGGGCAGGGAGTTGGGCGCAACCCTCTTATGTCTGATAGCAATTTTTGACTTGTCTCTTAAAATACATCAAAGCTTCTTCACATGACCATCTTGTCCTCCTTCACCGCGTGCTCGCCTCGCTGGCTTCTCTGCAGGCTTGCTGCTCTTCCACTTCAGTCCCCTCCCTTCCACGTCCCCTCCCCCTCCCTCGTCCCTCCTGACCCCCCACCCCGCTCCCGGCTGCCTCTCACGATAGGGAACTGGAGGGTATCCCTCCCTCCTTCTCTCTTCCTTACCTCGCTTCATCTCTGCCTCTGCCTCCACTTCCTCTATGGCTTTTGATGCGATTCCTGTAACCACCTGGCAACAACTCACTCCCCTAACACCTCAAACTCCCCCCAATCCTCCCAACTCAACCCCATCAGCCCTCCTCCTCCTCCTCCTCCTCCTCCTCCTCCTCCTCTCCCCCTTCTCCTTTTCCTTTGTTGTCCTCCGCCGCTTCCGACCTACCTTTCCGATGGCAAGGACTGCCGCTAGTCCTCCCGCATACGCGTACCAAGGAAGGCCTCCCTCTCCCACTCCTACGATTTCTCTTCCCACTTGACCTGCAGCCAGCCTGAGAGGAGATGGAAAGAGCAAGACAACAAGGATAGAGGAGAGGAATGCAAGACAAGAGGAAACTGAATCTTGATGAGTAGGAGCAAGGGAGCAAGGGAGAGCAGGAGGAGGAGAAAGAGGAGGAGGAGGAGGAGGAGGAGGAGGAGGAGCGGAGATGGAGGAATGAAATCTTAAAACAACCTGTGAGAACAAACCCAAGAGTTCCTGTTCATCTCTCAGCTCCTTCACATAATGGCATCATGCTCACCTGGCGCAAACCCGATAATCGTCCCCAGCAAGTACTCGACGAAATTCACTGCCGTCAACGTCAGAAGCTCCTATCTCCTTCCTCTCAACCCCATACTGTCTCAAGTAACAACATCCCCACCCAACCACTCCACTTCCTCCTCCACTTCCTCCTCGTCCTCGTCCTCGTCCTCGTCCTCGTCCTCGTCCTCCTCTTGCATCCCCCCTTTTCCTCTACTCATTCCTCGATCTCCGTGCCTTCGCCTGTTTCCCCTCCCACCTTTGGTCATGCCGTAGAGATAGTTACTCAGAGCGAATGGAAGGAGAGGAGAAAGGCGGAGCAGCAGCACCTGCGACGTGCTAGTCAGAACAGAAGTCAAGGGAGAAGGAGGACGAGGAGGAGCACAAGGAGAGAGGAACAGGAGGAGAGGAGGAAGAGAAGAGCAGGGGCAGGGGCATGAGATTTTGACCAGCTGGAAGCCCTTTCGCGAGATGGCCTCGTCGATCGCTGCAAACTTTCTACTCTTGGAGATGAGCCCCTCGACCCTTGAGACGAGTCAAACGCACAGAAGACAGCGGACGAGGTGAAGGGAACACGCACAGATACTAGAATGCCGAGATCGTAAGGAAGACAGGAGCAGGAGCAGGAGCAGGAGCAGGAGCAGGAGCAGGAGCAGGAGCAGGAGCAGGAGCAGGAGCAGGAGCAGGAGCAGGAGCAGGAGCAGGAGCAGGAGCTGGGTCTGCTTTACCATTCCCTCAGAAAGACTCTCCCGATGAGAAATGCTCCTCCTGCACCACTCGTCATTCTCCTCTTTACCTCCTCTTCTCCTCTCACCTGCAGCGATGGTCGCACTGACCAGCACTACGCATGTCCCCGGGACAACCTGCGCAGCTGGGAGTCATGGAGGAGAAGTTGAAGATGTGAGGAAGGCAAGAAGAGGATCGGGCAAAGGAGGAGGAAGCAAGAAAGGGGGAGGGGGAAATCGGAAGGGGGAGGAGTAGAAAGGAGTAGAAAGGAGTAGAAAGGAGGAGAAAGGAGGAGAAAGGAGGACGGGGGGAAGGCGGAGAGATTGAAGTTGGAAAGAAACGGATGGAGAGTTGGTTGTAGAGGAAATCACCCCGAATAAGTAGCCCGCGCTAGCAGTAAGGGGAATCGCCTGGTTGACAAAGCAAAATCAGTCAGTATTTACAGGCAGGGCAAAGGCAAGGGGGAAGAGGAGGGGAGGGAAGGGGAGGGAAGGGAAGGGAAGGGGAGGGAAGGGAAGGGAAGTTGAACAGGGAGAGAAAGGGAATCTTGTGATAGTGAGTAACAAGGGGCTCAGGTGGAAGGTAAGGAATGTACCGGGATTGCAAGCATTTCCGCTACCACATAGATAAGGGAGAAGTATAAATATCCAGTCGGGCCAAGTTGATCAATGTAATCGACAGAGTCTTGCAGCAACTGGAAAGGAAGTGCAAGTAAGACAGGCAGAGCAAAAGGAAGAAAAGTGAAATACCTTCTGTGGATCAATCGTCGAGATAGAATCAATGACCTGTGCAGGGAATGATGGTCACCTGAAAGGCCATGGCAGAGGAAAGGAAGTGGGAACGCGGAGATTGAGGAGCGAGCAGCGAGGGTAGGGAGGAAGCAAGAGGGGTGGGGGGGGGAGGAGGGGAGGGGAGGAAGGAAGGAAAGGGGGAGGGAAGAAGGGAAGAGGGGAAGGGAGGAGAAAGAGGAGGAAGGAGAGGGAGAGGGAGGAGA